CAACAAACACAAACCTAGAAATTCTAACTTCTACTAAAAATAATAACTGCCACCATCTCCCCTCAGTAAGGGTGCTCAAAAATGACAGCTATTGACTTACCTATTCTGGCAGCTCATCAAAACTAAATGTAGGCCGGGCGCGGTGGCTCAAGCCTGTAATCCCAGCACTTTGGGAGGCCGAGGCGGGCGGATCACAAGGTCAAGAGATCGAGACCATCCTGGTCAACACGGTGAAACCCCGTCTCTACTAAAAATACAAAAAATCAGCTGGGCATGGTGGCGCGTGCCTGTAATCCCAGCTACTCAGGAGGCTGAGGCAGGAGAATTGCCTGAACCCAGGAGGCGGAGGTTGCAGTGAGCCGAGATTGCGCCATTGCACTCTAGCCTGGGTAACATGAGTGAAACTCCGTCTCAAAAAAAAAAAACTAAATATAGCACTCTATCTACAGAAACACAAGCTCACAGTTGGTTTGTGTTACTATGAATAATTGTTTTGTATTTGTTTACATCATCTTTTCCACAAGATAACAATATTCTTAAAGGTAGGGCCTATAGCTTCCATTTTTCATAGGTTACTTCTTATATATGCAGTACAGTTAATTCTTTTCATATAAACAGCACTCAAATCCACTAATTGGTCCCCAAAAAACTAAGTTCAAGTATTTACCAAAGTTTTATCCTCATTTATCAGCAGACTGAAATCTAGTTCAAAGAGGTGGATAAAAATAAATAACAAGCAACTTCATATAAAAATTTCAGGCAGGCTGGGTGCAGTGGCTCACAGCCTGTAATCCCAGCACTTTGGGAGGCTGAGGTGGGAGGATCACCTGAGGTCAGGTGTTCGAGGCCAGCCTGGCCAACATGGCGAAACCTCGTCTCTCTACTAAAAATACAAAAAAAATTAGCTATGTGTGGTGGTGCATGCCTGTAGTCCAGCTACTGGGGACGCTGAGGAGGGAGAATCACTTGAACCAGGTAGGCAGAGGTTACAGTGAGCCGAGATTGCGCCACTGCACTCCAGCCTGGGTGCCACAGCGAGATTCCGTCCCAGGAGAAGAAAAAAAAGTTTCAAACAGTGAGAGAACAGAGCAGTGCAAAGAATGAACTATGGACCAATAGCCCTAGATTCCAGACCACTAATTCTCAAGATCAGAAAATGCAATTCATTATCTTTTTTTGAGACAGGGTCTGACTCTTGTCACTCAGGGTGGAATGCAGCAGTGTCACCTCAGCACACTGCACCCTCCGCCTCCTGGGTTTAAGCAATTCTCATACCTCAGCTTCCCCAGTAGCTGGAACTACAGGTGTGCACCAACATGCCCAGCTAATTTTTGTATTTTTAGTAGAGACAGGGTTTCTCCATGTTGGCCAGGCTGGTCTCAAACTCCTGGCCTCAAGTGATCTGCCTGCCTCAGCCTCTGGAAGTGCTGAGATTACAGGCCTAAGCCACCACACCCAGCTGACCTCATTATCTTTGAAATACGCAGCCTATCACTGTTTAGAATACACAACAAGTGCTCAATGTCTAATGAACTAAGTTAGAGTCTACTACTAGCTAATTATATTACTTTTGATAAAATTCCACATTTTATTGTAAAGTTCTCTAAAGTTCAAGTTTTTCTTTCCTATTAGAGATTACGAATAAATAATTGCTAAGACTCCTTCCATTTACTGACTCTATCTTCTAAGTCTAACATTCTGATTCTACAATGTAGCACCTTATACCAACGAGGAAAAAAAACCTATTTGCAAGCAAGTATTAAGTTCACTGTATTAAGTTCATTGTTTTGGGCCTGGTGTGGTGGCTCACACCTGTAATCCTAACACTTATGGAGGCTTAGGGAAGCAGATCACTTGAGGTCAGGAGTTCGAAACCAGCCTGGCCAACATGGCAAAACCCCTTATCTACTAAAAATACAAAAAAAGTAGCTGGGCGTGGTGGCAAGCGCCTGTAATCCCAGCTACTCAGGAGGCTGAAGTAGGAGAATCACTTCAAACCTGGAGGCAGAGGTTGCAGTGAGCCAAGATCGTGCCACTGCACTCTGGCCTGGGCAACACAGCGAGACACTCGTCTCACAAAAAAAAAAAAAAGTTCATTGTTTGTTTTTGAGATGGAGTTTCGCTGTTGTTGCCCAGGCTGGAGTGCAATGGTACCATCTCTGCTCACCACAACCTCCGCCTCCTGGGTTCAAGCAATTCTCCTGCCTGAGCCTCCCGAGCAGATAAGATTGGAGGCATGTGCCACCACACCCGGCTAATTTTGTATTTTTTAGTAGAGACAGGGTTTCTCCACGTTGGTCGGGCTGGTCTCAAACTCCAGATCTCAGATATGATCCGCCCACAGTGGGTTACAGGCATGAGCCACCATGCCCGGCTTTAGTTCATCATTTATATATGATATCGTATCCTTCTTGAATTATTAATTCCTTGAGGGCAAAGACTGAATTTGTTTCATAGTTTCCAACAAACCCTGCAGATAGTGAAGTACCAGGTGACAAGGAAGCTACCTGAATTAACCAAGAATTCAGGATTGAACAGTACGAGGAATAACCTCATTAAGTATGGTTAAGACTGGCCAGAACACACAAAAAAAATACAGTAGCTACTTGGAACTGAGCTGACCAAAGGAGAGAAGCAAAGCAAAGGCATAGAGAAAAGTAACAATGGCAAACAGCTGGCATGGAAACGAGAGCCCATACCGGACTATACAGCAAAACTGGAATGTTCAAACCATGACACCAAAGAATCACCTGAGTGGCAAAGGGGCTGCAAGCTCCCCATCGTCTGCTGGTATCTTCGACTCTCATCTTCTGCCACCTCGTTAATGTCCGAATAGTCCACAGCATCTTCTGTACTCCTAATCCACCCTATGAAAAAGCAGGGAAAAACTCAGGAACAGCAGTGACCCTCACTCCCTCAGATAAACCCTATTTAAAAGCATATGTACAGGCTGGTTGCAGTGGCTCACACCTGTAATCTCAGCACTTTGGGAGGCCCAGGCGGGTGGATCACCTGAGATCAGGAGTTCGAGATCAGCCTGATCAATATGGTGAAACCCTATCTCTACTAAAAATACAAAAATTAGCCGGGAGTGGTGGCGCGCGCCTGTAGTCCTAGCTACTCGGGAGGCTGAGACAGAATTGCTTGAACCCGGGAGGCAGAGGCTGCAGTCAACCCAGATCGCACAGTGCACTCCAGCCTGGGCGACAAAGACTTCGTCTCATTTTAAAAAAAAAAAAAAAAAAAAAAAAAAGTACATGTATAGTAAATGGCCAGCCGCCTCCCCCACCTACTCCCCACGACCCAGACTTCACCTTCATCATTTACCAAGGCACCGTCAGTCCCAGCCAATTCTTCATTTGCCGTGAGTTCAGTGATCAGGCTCCCCAGCCCCAAAGCCCCCAAGCCTGCCAAGTGCTTCTTACACTCCTGAAAAAGGGACAGCACCAGAGTTGAAGGTAACAACTAAACCTACCATTCCCACACCGCAGGGCTTATTTCCCTGGACCACGAGAAAGTCATAAATCCACATGAAAAAGGACTCTACAGTGTGCCAAAAGGAGCAACACGTTCAAAAACTGTAATATACATATACCAAACTAGGCATCAATCAGATTGTTATTACAGCACCAGGGCCAACTGCATCCCCCACACTTTAAAGTATACTACTACAAGAGAAGATGAATCAAAGAACCACTACCAGGACTGAAAGAATCGAACAGTCGTTCTCGGAATAAGGGCCGAGGCAGGGAAGTCAGTGGCACTGGAGGCAGCAAGGAGGGGCCCGTCCAGGCCACGTTTCGAGGGCGCCTGCGGCACAGGAGGGGCCACGGCGACCGACAGCTTTACCACTCAAGAAAACGGGCCTAAGTGAAGGCGGGGAGTTTCACTTGGGCGCAGGACACTGTTTCACGGAAGTCAGTGAAGGCGCTGGCAGAATCACCTAAAACGTGCACTGGGACCAGGAGGCCCGCCAGGGTGCTGGGAACACCGCCTGTCTTAAGCCTGGGGCTGGAACCAAACGAGCGGGGAGCTCCCGTCCAGTCCTCCGGTCCTATAGAGCCATCTCAGGTCAGCGATGTCAGAAGGGCAGACAGTGTCAGGAATCTCCAATCAAGGTTACGGGTGGGAAGCCATCTCAGTAAGCGAAACGAGCATGTGTCCTACTGGCTAGTCCGCAGAGCGCTAGCTCCAAAGCCACCATCCCCTGCGCCCCTGGTCCCGGGCTCGCCTTACGCTCTCTTCTGCCCCTCCTCGCCCAAAACTGATCACCCCCACGCCACGCTGCCCCCGCACCCACTAGGACGGGATACTCCTGCCCGGCGTTAGCTGCGCCCTCTGTTCTCGCTGCCTGAGTACCCTCTCCTTTTCTCCCTGCACCTCCTTACTCTGCTTAGCCACACCACCCCCAGCCCTATCCCCACGCCCACCCCCTCACATCATCCAAGACGCTTTCCCCCTCCAGCTGCCCGGCTCCATTGATGTTGCCGAAAAGGAAACCGGCTAAAGAAAATGGGCCGCCTCCAGCGGAATCTTCGTCGCTATCCGTGTCTGACATGATGGCGGTAGCAGAGATGGTAGCTGCTGCCCGCAGCAGCAAATCGCAGCCGGGTCCCATAGACCGGAAATAAAACAACAGTCGCCCAGAAATGACTCACTGAGCTCCCTTACCCTACCAGCTTCCACCGGAAGCAGAATGAAGGGAAAAAAAAACGCACACACACACACACACACAAAACAAAACCAAAAAAAAAAAAAAAAAAAAAAAACACCCGGAAAGACCGACTATCCTAAGAGAAAGAAGTAATGGCGCACTACTTTACTAGCGGCTTTTGATTCGCCGCTACGGGATCAGGAGGCCGGATGTGTGTTAAGCGGTTGGTCAAAGACAATATTTAGTCCCGCCCGCTCCCACCGCTCTGTGCGCGAGCTTTCTCACGCACCAAATTACAGCAGCGGCTCTTCTTCCAATCAGAAGGAGCTGCTGGGGTCACGTGGCTTACGCGCTGGCAACCTCGGGTCACTGTGCCACAATACACGGAAGTAAGGATAGGAGCCGGTCTTTGTGCCGCTCCGAAGGGTAGATTAGCTGTAAATTGTGCAGGCAATCCCAAAGTGTGCCGAATGTACCTTTGCAGGTTACTTGTTTTTAATAGACATTTTTCCCAAAATATTTATTTTTTTGACCGGGCGTGGTGGCTCACGCCTGTAATTGCAGCACTTTGAGAGGCCGAGGTGGGAGGATTGCTTGAGCCCACGAGTCTGAGACCAGCCTGGGCAAGAAAGCGAGACTCCCATCTCTACACAAAATCAAAAACATTAGCCGGACGTGGTGGAAAGTGCCTGTAGTCCGAGCTGCTGGGGGCTCTGAGGTGAGAGCATGGAGTTGGAGTCTTCAGTGACCTATGATTGGGCCACTGCATTCCAGCCCGCCTCAAAAAAATTATTTTTTCCCCCAAACGTTTTATTTCGGAAAATGTGAAAGCTTAGTAAAATGAACAGCTGACTCTTCACCTGGACTGACAATTGTTAACATTTTGCTAGGGTTTTTGTTTTTCTCAACCATTTGAAACTGGGTTACGGGCATATTGTTCTTCATCTCTAAAAATAGAAAACTACGAAACAAAAAACTTTATCACATTTTTAGGAAGTAAGTCAGTTTTTTTTTTTTTTTTTTTTTTTTCAGAGTAAGTCAATGTTACTTAACATAGAGTCCGCACTTAAATTTCCCCAGTTGTCCTAGCTAGGGCATTTTACGGGGTTTCATCATGTTCCACAAGCTGGACTCAAAACTCCTGGGCTCAAGGAATCTGTCCCCTTAATCCTCCCAAAGTGCTGGGATTGCAGGCATGAGCCGCCACGCCCAGCCTTCACCTTGCTTTTTTCACTTATAACAACCTAGACTGAAATCATTCTGTACCATATCATAGCACTCTTCCCTCATTCTTTTTTTCCAATCTAGGATCCATTCAAGTTTCATGCATTGTATTTGGTCATCTTCCTTTAGTCCAGAATCCACCTGGATTTTTGTTTTTCATGACACTAAATATTCGAAAGAATCCAGGTAAGTTGTCTTGAAAATATTCCATGATCTGAATGTTGTCTTGTTTCCTGAGACTGATTCAGGTTAAATATTTTATCAGCCATCAGAAGGTACACTGAAGTACAATGATGTCCTAGTATTGGTGATGCTAAATTTCATCACCTTGTTAAGTAGTCACCACCGGACTGCTCCATCTCAAAGGTACATTTTATCCTGTGTAATTACTAAGTAATCCATAGATACTTGGAGGTTATATGAATATTCTTTTTTTTTTTTTTTCAGTCTTTTGGTACTGAGCCCATCCTACGGAATAAATTGTATGTGAATATTCTGTTCCCCATTGACCTTGCATCCAGTGTGGTTTTAGCATCCATTGATGTCCCTTGGCTAGATCAGTTACGTTGGGAGAGTGTCAAAGGATGATTTTTTTTTTTTTTTTTTTTTGAGAAAGTCTCACTCCGTTGCCCAGGCTAGACTCCAGCGTGACCTCCTTCTCCCGGGTTCAAGTGATTCTCTTGTCTCAGCCTCCTGAGTAGCTCAGACTACAGGAGCATACCACCATAGCCGACTAATTTTTGTATTTTCAGTAGACAAGGGATTTCGCCGTGTTGGCCAGGCCGGTCTGGAACTCCTGACCTCAGGTGATCCACCCACCTTAGCCTCCCAAAGTGCTGGGATTACAGGCCTGGCCAACATGGCGAAAACCCGTGTCTACTAAAAATACAAAAAAGGCCGGGCGCCGTGGCTCAAGCCTGTAATCCCAGCACTGTGGGAGGCCGAGGCGGGTGGATCACGAGGTCAAGAGATCCAGACCATCCTGGTCAACATGGTGAAACCCCGTCTCTACTAAAAATACAAAAAATTAGCTGGGCATGGTGGCGCGTGCCTGTAGTCCCAGCGACTCAGGAGGCTGGGGCAGGAGAATTGCCTGAACCCGGGAGGCGGAGGTTGTGGTGAGCCAAGATCGCACCATTGCACTCCAGCCTGGGCAATAGAGCGAGACTCCGTCTCAAAAAAAAAAAAAAAAAAAAAAAAAAAAA